GTGGAGCTGGCGCAGGATCGGGCAGTGTTTCGTTCTGCTGTGCATGGGGTTGCTATGAGTCGGAAATGACTCGATGGCACCTAACAACTAACAACAACAACAGAAGGTACCGAAGTGACAGGAGCCACCAGCAGGGGCATCTCTAATAATAATGACGTAAGAAGAGCCCCTGCAGATACTCAGTATGAAGCTGTGTTCAGAAATGAAGCTGTGTTCAGAATCAACTGAATTCTCAAACATAGACAGATGTGGTACAGAAGCTTAATCCTTCAGCAGCTGCCACAAAAGTAAAGCCTTTTTAAGAGGAGATTAGTTTATGACCAAGAAAACCCTTCTCTTTTGACTTATGAACTTAATCAAAATAAAAGTAACAATGGTAGTTTCTCAAAAGCTGGAAGTAATTCCAGCCAGACTTACCTGTGTGATTGAGCAGTTGAGCTGATCTTTCTAGACTAGACCACCCTTCATTGTCATATCCAAACCTGAAAGGCCAGATGGCAACAGAGACCTCTTTGGCTGGTGCCTGGAGAATTATATTAATGGTAATTTATGAGGACCATGAATAATGACAGTTTTGGTAACCCAGTTTTCTCCACCTCACTCTATCAAAATCCTTTTGTCCCAAGTTTCAGCAAAGGAATATCCCCCAAACATTTTGTTGTTGTTGTTGTTAGGTGCTGTCAAGTTGCTTCAACCCATAGTGGCTCTACATACACCAGAATGAAATACTGCCAGTTGTGGTAGTTAAGTTGTGGGTCAACTTGGCAGGGCCTGGCTTTGAGCGGTTGGGTAGCTGGATGTGCCATGATGAGATTGGTAATCAACCCGGTGATGGAATCTACTGAAGGAGTTGAGTCACTGCCTTAGGGATGCAGTCTGCTCCCAGTATATAAGAAGACAGGTTTGGCGTGCTTGGACCCTGCATGCAGTCAAGTCTTCATTCAGCAGCCTTCCATGTTGTCTGCCAATCTTGGGACTATTAACAGACTTGAACCAGTGGCCTGCCGTGTTGTTTGATAATCTTGGAACTGTGCCATTTTATTTGTCAACCTTGGGTTTGTCAGCCTCAGCAGCTGCCTGAGTTAAGAGACACACCCAGCTGCAGTGGGCAGAGAGCAAGAGGCAGAGCTGAAGCCCAAGGTCAAGGGGCCTTCACCCAGGCCTTAGAGTTGGCACTTTGAACTTGGACTTCTAGCCTCCTAAACTGTAAGAGAAAAAACTCCTGTTTGTTCAAATCTGTGGTATTTTCTGTTAGATCAGCACCAGAGAATCAAAACACCACAACCATTGCTATGTTTAAGCCAATTGTTGCATCCACTGTGCTGATCTATTTCACTGAGGATCTTCTTGACCCCCTACTTAACCAAGAATGAATTCCTTATCCAGGGACTGATCCCTCCTGACAACATGTCCAAAGTACATGACATGTTGTCACGCCATCCTCACTTCTAAGGTGCATTCTGGTTGTACTTCTTTCAAGACAGCTTTGTTTGTTCTTCTGTCAGCCTGTGATGTATTTAATATTCTTTGCCAACACCAAAGGCATCAATTCTTCCTCTATCTTCCTTATTCATTGTTCAGCTTTTGCATACATATGAGGCACCTGAAAATACCATGGCTTGTGTCAGGAACATCTTAGTCCTCAAGGTGACAGCTTTACTTCTTAATACTTTAAAGAGCTCTTTTGCAGAAAATTTGCTAATTCAGTACATTGTTTCATATCTTGACTGTTGTTTGCCTAGGTGTTGATTGTGGATCCAAGTAAAATGAAATCCTTGACAATTTCAGTCTTTTTTCTGTTTATTATGATGTTGCTTATTGGTCCAATTGTGAAGATTTTTGTTTTATGTTAAGGTGTAATCCATACTAAAGGCTGTTAAATGCTTCAAGTCCTTTTCACTTTCAGTAAGCAAAGCTGTGTTATTTGCATATCACAGGTTGTTAATGAGTCTTCCTTCAATCCTGATGCCACATTCTTCTTCATATAGGCACATTCTTCGTCATTGATAGATAAGTGGTTGCCTCAAACATCTGCCCACATTTAGTTCATAAAAGCAAGAAAGTATTTGCTATATGAAATTCTCATATTATATATCCTTTGAACTTCTAGTTTAAGCTTTTTAGTTAGGAGGAGTGTTTGGAAAGTGAATCTAATAAACATTGCTTATAATAACAGTAAAAAATCAGAAACAATTTATCCATCAACAAGAAAATAAATAAATAAATGGTGTCATATATATGTATCTTGGAATACTATCCTGCAATAAAAATAAATGAATTAAAAAGTCAAGGAAAGTTTTGTATATGGAAGGAAACCTTCTTTGTCAGTCACCAGTGGTGGGAGGAAAGTGGAGGGAACATTGCAAAGATTTAAAAAAAATAAAATCAGAGGAAAAAAAAAAGAAATGAATTAAAATAAAAAAAAAAAAAAAGAAATGAATTAAAATAAAAAAAAAAAAAAAGAAATGAATTAAGGTTACATGTACCCACGTGGATGAATTTCACAAAAGTGATTTTAAGTGGAAAAAAAAAGTCTGTTGTAAAATATATATGTATGGTATCATTTAGATAGTGTTTAAAAACATGGACAAAACAATACTGTCTAGGAATGTGTCACATGCAATAGCAATATAAAGAAAAACATGAAAATGATAAATGTCATATTCATATAGTTGTTACTTTTGCAGGGGAAAAAAATGAGGTCACAGAGGGATACATAGGGGCCTGTAATGTATTTGTAAAGTTGTCTAGCAATTCCAATCTCATGTTATACCCCTTCTGTACTGGCAAGGTACGATCCATCAGTTAGTCATACTGTAGTGGGTTAAGTGTTGCTGTGATGTCAGAAGCTATGACACTGGTATTTCAAACACCAACAGGGTCATCCATGGTGTGCAGGTTTTAGCTAAGCTTTCAAATTAAGATAGACTTGGAAGAATGGCCTGGTGCTCTACTTCTACAAACTAACCAACAAACACCTTATGCATCACAATAGAGATCAACAGCTGGAGGAAGACATCATGTGTGTGGTAAAGTAGAGGGCCAGCAAGAGTAAGGGAGACCCTTGGGGAGAAAGACTGGTACCTAGCCACAACGATAGACTCAAACTTACCAGCAACGATGAGGATGACTCAGGACCAGGCAATGTTTTCTTCTGCTGTACATAAGGTCACCATAAGTCAGAGTCAACTTAATGGCAGCTATCTATAGATTTTTACCTGTGTTTTCAAGGGAATGTTGAGGAATATAGCCTCTTTTGAGAGCTCTTACTTGGGATCCATAAGCTCAGTAAGAGAATGCACTGTCCAACCCTAACTATCAATCTCAAACACCTACTGAACTATATCAGGGATTCTGCGAATGTATGGCTACAGAAGAAAAAATATATCACTACAACTAAAGAAATGACTCAAACTGGCCCATTTATTTCAGGTTAGAAGAAGGATAAATAGCAATAGCTTTGCACAGGAGGTCCACTACTTTATGTAAACATCTCAACATGCTTGTTCTACCAGCAGTGGACTGGACATTTCATCTTTATCAAGAAGAATTATTCTGTTTTGTAAATTTGTCATAAAAAGAGAATTAAACCATCAGTAGATATTTCAAGAGGCATATTACCTTCATCAAGCTAACCTTTTTGACATAACTATATTTCCATGATTCTTTATTTCATCACCCCAAAACTTATTATTCCCTCATTCTCCCCATCTCAGTAAATATCACACCCTCCTTCAAGTTTCTCAAGGCAAAAATCTGGAAGTTATCCATAATTCTATCCTTCTCCTCATCTATCAACACCTAATATGCAAGTCCTATCATGTCTACTTTGAAAATATGTTCTATCTACTTCTCTCTGATTCTAATACCACAGCACCAGTCCAAACCACCAACATCTCTCTCCTGCACAACTGAAAATGCCTCATAACATATCTCTCTGCTTCTACTCTTGTGTCCCTTTATAATCTACTCTTCATAAAGGCATCAAAGGATATATAACAAGTTTCTTCACTCTCTTGCTTAACATACTCCAATGGTTTCCAATGCAAGTAAAATAAAATCAGCACTCTTTATTGTGGTTTACAAGGTCCTGTGTGATGTGGTTCACCTGCCTCTCAAACTTCACCTTCTGTCATTCTTCTCCTTGCTCACCAAGCTTCAGCCACATTGGCCAGCCTGATGTTCCTCAGACATGCCAAGCTTTCTCCCAATTCAATTTTTTACACATGTTCCTTCTCCCTGAATCCTTTATCACCAGCTCTTTGCACAGATAGTTTTTCCTCAACTGTTAGGTCTCAAATTGAATGTTATCTCTTCAGAACAGCCTTCTTTAACCTCTCAGACTCAGATACTCTCTAGTCCATAATCCAATTTTCTTCATAGCAGCTCAATCAAAAGTGACAGATTTTATGTTTCTTCCTCTGAATTCTTTCTTCTTACTAGAATGTGAACTCACGTGTACTTCTGTATCCCTGGACACCAGGCACATAAAAGTCATTCAATAAACACTTAGGAAATGAATGAATGAATGAATAAATAAATAAATAAATAAATAAAAATTAATGAAAGAACACACATTAAATCTAATCCAAATGGCACCTTTTGAAAAAGAACACTGGGATCCTCTCTGACCAACTTTATGTTGGAATAACGGCTAACAATTAAAAGACAGAAAAAAGGGCCACTTAATAAATTACTTAATTTTTAACAAATGGTTACAAAGAACTGAATATATACCAAGTACTCTGTGAGGTACTGGAATACAAAAGTATTCCAAAGAGAAACATGATCTCTGTCCTCATCATAACTTTTTATTTAATATGAAAAATTTGCCAGGTAGTAGAGATTGCTAAAATTCGAAGTTCACCTTCAAATTCTATTTTAGCCAAAACTGTAAGTCTAGCAAAGATGTCACTTTGAAGACTAAGGTGTGTCTGTCCAAAGCCAACGTCTTTTCAACAGCTTCATATGTACATGAAAGGTGGACAGTGAATAAGGAAGACCACAGAAAAATGGATTCATTTGAATTGTGGTGTTGGTGAAGCATATTGAATATACCATAGCTTCCCAGAAGAATGAACAAATCTGTCTTTGAAGAGGTATAGCCAGAATGCTCCTTAGAAGCAAGAGTGGGCAGACCTTGTCTCTCATAGTTTTGTCATGTTTTTGGAAGGGACCAGTACCTGGAAAAGATTATCATGCTTGATGAAGTAGAGGATCAATAAAAATGGAGAAGATCCTCAATGAGATGTATTGACACAGTGGCTGCGATGATGGGCTTAAACACAGCAACTATTGTGAGGATGGCACATGACCAGGCAGTGTTTCATTCTATTGTACATAGGGTCATTACAAGTTGAAACTGACTCAACAGTACCTAACAAGAACAACAACAACAGCTCATTATAAAACACTTCAAACATTTTATCAGAACAAATAGACAACACAGCACTGCAATGACTTGCTCTAGCTCACCTTTCTAGAAGAGAAAGGGACAAGAAAATATAACTATAGAGAATAATAGTGAAAAGGAAGAGGAAAGAAAACTTTCACAGCCTGTCAATACACAAAATACTCATAATGTGCACAATCAAGAATTGTCTGTAAAATTTCTCTTGGTCTAGAGTTCAATGTATAAATGTATGCATACAAATTTCTATTTCAAACTTTTAAATTACTTACCTCTTTGCTCAATTTCCTCTCATAGGTTTTTTGCCGTAGTCCTAATCCCAACAACCCCACACCAACAAGCAGCCACAAGACTAAACAAAACCAAGAAATAATTGTTTAAAAGAAACTAATGTTACTGATTTAAAAAATCATTTTTATGGTTGCTGAATCTATTAACTAAGGATTTTGTGCAATGGGGAAATGTCTAATTCTTGGGGTTAAACTTCATGTGTCACATGCATATATAACCCATACTTTAAACCCAGGCCTCAAAGAATCTTCCCTAAAAATATCCCAAGGACCATGACTTTCAAGTTAAAAAAAAAAAAAAAAATCACAAAATACCTAAGAAAATAAGTCTCTATAAACAAGAAGCAGAGGAGGGAAAACCCTGCAGAATGAAGCCAAGAAAGATTTCAGATACTGGAATTTCCACAATCAGAATATAAAATAAGTGTTTGACATGTTTAAAAAAGTAAAAGAGGAAGTATGACTATGGAATACAAAACTACAATAAATGATCAGAAAGGTTTGTAAAGAAATCAAACTTCTGGGAAGAAATATACAATAATAATAATTGAAATTACAAATGCAGTGGACAAGATAACCAGCAGATTACACAAACCTGTATAGAGAATTAGTGAACTGAAAAGTAGAGCTGAGGAAATTACAAAGAGAACAAAATATGAAAGTAATCAAGAAACATAAAGAACAGAAGAAGAAAGTCCAACATATATATAATTGGAGTCAAAAACGAGACAGGCTACATTTGAAGAATTAATGGTTGATAATTTCCCTGAATTATTAAGACATCATTATTTAGTTTTAGGAAGACCAAAGACTCCCAATCAAGATTAAAAAAGAAAAATCTACGTTCAAATACCATATTTTTTCAATATCTAATGGAATAATGGAACTGGTCAATGATCACCAATAGCTGCTAATATCACAGGGTCAGTCACTTGTTTCATGACAGAAGTACTCAACACCACCTATTAAGTTGTCTTGTGAAAATAATCAAACTTTAATGAGGTTAAGCATCTTGATCCAACTATCAAAGTACAGAGGACCAAGAAACATGTTAAACAAAACCATAAATATTCCAACAGCAAAATGCAGACCATGTGAAACTATACAGGACAAACAACCTTTAATAAATAAAGAGGAAGAAAGGAAAAGGAGGGGAAGGAAGGAGGGCATTTTAAAAGAGGTTTAAGAGACCTATCAATCAATTGCACCACATTGCTTTAGGAAATGAACAAACTATAAAGAAACATCTATGATGCAATCAGGAAAATTTGAACACAAGGTATCTGATGGGTAATAAAAAAAACCTGCTAGTTAAAAA